TGATGCTAGAATTGCATAACTAGAAACTTAAAAATTATTAAACAAATAAAAAGTTAGGAATTAAGAAATAGTATATTATTTAACAACACATAATAATGAAGTTTATACACGAGCCAAGGGCGAGTTTATAAATCATCCGAGTGAATTATAGCCATTATATGCGAGTCAGATACGACGTTTGTCTACGATTTTTTTAATAAAACACTTTTTATTTACAAAATTTATATTTATTATAATGACAGAACTGTGATTTTATGAATAGATAAGCATAATGTACCTATAGTTACGTAAATAACAAACGTATTATTTCATGGTTGTAGATAAAAGATTTTTTAGAATTATATTTTTATACCATTCGATGCGGAATTAAAAAACGAACATTTTGATAATTACAATCTAATAAAATAAATGTTGAAAAATAATTATTATCAATCAAAAAAACTTTATTGAAATGCGCCCTAGAATATAAATAAAGTCTTTAAAATATCAAAATTCATGAACCCTGTGTTCGGAAAAAATGTTGAAAGATTTTAGGGGGTGGTTTCCTTGGACAAAATAAGAAAAAAGTTCCAATAGACTTATGTTCGGAAATGCTTCCTGAGGGTGCTAAAGGCCTTTTTTTCAATTATCTCAGTAACCGATGGACATAAATTTACAAAAGTTTGCATCTGGATTAATTTTTGGGCGCTAAATCTATAAGTAATATCAAAAAATGCACACCCTAATAAGCACTGGGGTCAAGCTATTTTGCTTTGAAAGAAAATTTTGAAAATTTTATTTTGAAAGAAATTTTTTGACAGATTCAAATTTATTGGCTAATTTTCTCCAAATAATGTCTTTGGTGTTATATTTTTATGCGATGCACCGTTTTCGAGAAAAACGAGGTGCGCCGATTGTTCAATGTTCAATGTTATTTGTGGCTTTTATTGGCAAAATTTTTGTTACTTTACTAAATAATTGTAAAAAAACATATACAAGATGATCAGTATCATCAAATAAACATTAAAAATGTCAAATGTAAAAAAATAAAAGTCAAAATTTTTTGAGAAGGAGAATTTTTTAAACAATTTTTTTATGTTCCTGGTATCTTATCTTACTTAAAAATATTCTCTTGGGCGCGAGTTCTGGCGCACCCTGTATAATTATGCTTTAGAAGAGAAAATGTAATTGTAAAATTTACAAAATCAAAATTCAAACACAAAAATGTAAAGCAAAATCAAAAAAACAAACCGCAATAATACATATTTTATAGCCTGAAAAGTAAGATTTTTACTGAAAAAAGTGCTAGACTGAACATAAAATTGAAAAAGTATATTTCTTGAATTTATTAAACAATCATTTAAGGTAAACAACAATTTCGTTAAAAAAACAAACCTTTTGAATTACTGATGAAACTACTCGTATTATTATCTATATCCTAAATTGTTACTCTGTTCAATGTTGTTTGTGGCTTTTTTTGGCAAAATTTTTGTACCTTTACTAAATAATTATAAAAAAAACATATACAAGATCATAAGTACGGAGAACTACATACTTTTATTTTTTTGCTTTAGGTATCCGTAATCATAAGTATCATTAAATAGACATAAAAAATGGCAAATGTCAAAAAATAAATGTCAAAATTTTTTGACAGATAGAATTTTTTAAGTATGCTTTTCATGTTCCTGGTATCTTATCTTACTTGAAATTTTTTTTCTGGGGCGCGAGTTCTGGCACACCTGTATAGGGTGTTAAAAAAGATTTAACGAGGTAATAGTATGGACCTCAAAAAAAATTCTTAATAAACATGAGTTCCCAAAGTAACGGTATGAAAATTTTTAGAATTCTTACTAGAAGCTTTTATTTGTTTGAACAGACTGCAAATACATATTTCAAAAAATTGTTTTTTTGATATCTCTTGTTTTTTTTTTTGATATCTCCGAAACCCGTAATTTTGTAGCCCCAAGTTTATTAAAACTTTTTTGTTTGTTTTGATTACCTGCTGACCTGCTTTACAATCTTTTTTTAACAACCTATATAGAATTAGAGATCGAGTTATTGCTCTAACTATGTATCATTTCGGTTTAATTTTTTAATAAAAATTTCTCCAGCTTTAAGAAATTTTGTAAAAAGTCGCAAAACGTGTTTTTCAGTAAAAATTTGGGTTTATTTGAAGCACAGAAAAATGTCTACAGGGTGTTGTCAAATGCAAAATATGGTCTTTTTGTCACAAGTGCCCTCAAATTAGTTACATCCCAAGTGGGAGTGTCCATTTCCTGCATGTGACAAACAGTTCTTCAGGCCTGTGATTTGGGCCACACGTGACTTGGTCACGTGCCAAACACGAGTAACCCCACTTACATGTGTCAAACATGGTTTGCAGTCACCCCTGTATATTCAATTGTTTGGAAAGATAAGCCAACTGGATTTGTTTTTGTGGCCGGCTTATGAATTTGTTTGAGGCTTTGAATTATTTATACAACGACTGGTGTGTGATCTTAATTTAATTTTAAGCCTATTTAGCGGCTTTTTCCCATCACAAAAACACCCGTTATTACGAGTATAAAGTCTGTTTTTTATTTAAATGGAAATTACCAAGTCAAAATTTTGGTGAAAAAATTGGTATCAGCTTGTGTCCATAGCCACAAATTTTGTTTGCTTTTTGTTTTTGTCCCTAGAAATTTTGTTAAAAAATTATGGTTACGTTTTCAAATTGAGATGTTGTCAAAAGTTTGACTTTTATGAATCTTGCGTGCTATTTGGTCTTTGAAAGTGGTATAATTGAGTATTGGAAGACAGACATCATTACCTAAGGTCTAAAGACAGAATTCAGTGCTAATAATTTTGATAGAAACACACCGAAAGTAAGTACAGGGAATAGGGAATCTCCGAAACTAAGAGGTTTAGCCAAAAACGAGTAATACATTCTGGGGCTCATTTTTTGAGAAAATAACATTGGTTAAAACCGCATCCCGCTATCGTCTTTTGTTTTCGACTTATAGACAAAAATTGACATTTTAGCGAAATCTAAAAAAAATTCATATCTTCGTTATTATAGAAGACACAGATTTGAAATAAAGACATTATACAGGCACTTTTTTACGTAGAATTTAATAATGTAGTTAACATTTTTTTTCAGTTGTTTGTTTAGCCGTAATAAAATAAACTTGTATTTTTTTAAATGGGAATCATAGATGGCTATGTCATTTTTAAAAAGCTTGTTTTTTTCTTATCTAAAAAATATATATTCATAACAAATTATTATAATACATTTTTAGCAAAAAATTATCTTTGATATTTGTTCGCAGTTGGCCATGAAAAAATGTTGCATTTTCAACTCAAAGGATTTAAACTATATTATTTTCAACCAGTGTCACTAATGAAAGAGTTTTCTAAGTACTAAGTAATGAAAAAAATGCAAAATAAATTGTAAATCAACTTATTGGCGACTAATAACATTTCTTTGTTTTTAAACAAGCTAACATTATTATTGCAACTTCTAGTGATACATAGAGTGTTGTAAAAAAAGCCGCTTTAATTCTTCAATAAAATATATTTTATATGACACAAAAATGACGATATGGCTGTTCAAATACCCAAATTCCGTCTATGTGAAACGTTATCCTACCTCCATTAGATCATCAAAAAAAAAATGTTTTTTGCAATTGTGTTGACTGTTGACACATTTGTTTTTTCTATTTTTTGATTTTTTAAAAATATGTAATAATTTTGTTATGAGGCACTCTTATATTTGTTCAATACTTCTACGGTATCGTATTTTTAAAATCTTTATAATTTTATCTATTTTTTCATCTATTTTACAGTTCACAAAACTCTTATTGATTATTATTTACACATTTGGAGTGAAATAGTTTTTCCACGGCCAACTATTATCAAACAAAATATGTATTTCACTTTTTAAGTATAGTTATAAAAATATTCTGTTACAAATATATATTTTTTAGATAAGAAAAAAACAAGCTTTTCAAAATTGCCATAGCCGTCTATGATTTCCATTTAAAAAAATAAAAGTTTATTTTATAACGGCTAAACTAATGACTGAAAAAAAATGTTAACTACATTATTAAATTCTACGTAAAAAAGTGCCTGTATAATGTCTTTATTTCAAATCCGTATCTTCTATAATAACGAAGATATAATTTTTTTTAGATTTGGACAAAAAGTCAACTTTTGTCTGTAAGTCGAAAACAAAAGACGATAGCGGGATGCGGTTTTAACCAATATTATTTTCTCAAAAAATGAGCCCCAGAATGTATCACTCGTTTTTGGCTATAGTTTCGTTTTTGGCTCTTAGTTTCGGACATCCAAAATGCAGCACCCTGTACAATGTTGTGGACAAAAACTTTGAAAAAAAGGATGTATATATAGAAAAAAGTTATTTAGCAAAAGATACAAGTAGGTATTATTATGATTGGCAATAAATTTTGTGTAATTTAATGAAATGAGCTCAAGGTTGATGCATTTTATAAATTCTTTTTCAGCTTTAGTTTCAAAATTGTTACTTTTTCAATTCGTTCCTCAAAAACGATGCACAAGACACTAATTTATTTGCGTTCTTTCCGAGGTTCTTTCTCATTCATGTTTATTTTGTCTTGAGAATGTTTAGCAAACCTGCATTACAAATTGCGTCTACATTTTAACGAGCCTTTTTTCTAACTTCCTGCTTGCGAACTATTCGTTTCCAAATTTCTAAAAACTGATAGTCGCACTGAATTTGTGTTTTTTTTAGACGATTTTTTGTGTTGACGTTTAATGACATTGTTTTCAAATTAATTCAAAAAACCGGAACTGCCAACTTAAGACTGTTTGGCATTTCCATTTAAAAAAAAAAACAGACTTTATGCATACTTTTATTATCACTGATGTTAACAAAATATTAATACAATGCTTTAGAAATAAAAAAATTGGATAAAGTAGCGAGTTTTCTACTTTGCTAGGGAAGAAACGTTAAAATTATTTGTACAGTGTTTATCCCAGTGGAATTATTTTCCAGTCTTTAGTTCGAATTGATCAACTCGACGTAAGTTGCAGGAAAAATCCCGACGTTCCCTTTGCACTCCCCCAACCACCAGCCATCGTCCTGTTGTCTGTAAACTGAGAGTAAATCCCCCGGTTGCAAAGCCAACTCGTCGGTTAAATTGGGGGTATAAGCGTATAAAGCCTTGCATTGGGCTATTGGCTGCACTGGACTCTCTTCCGTGCTGCAAAGATTTCCCCCACTGCTGCATTGCGAGGAAAATTCATCTGGAAAATTTCGTTTGCATTTATTTGCAATTTTCGCACGAGAGAACTCACCGAAATCGGAGTCGGGCTGATTGGAGTTCCCGTCGGCAGCCCCCCTGTCGGGCCATTCGGCGTCGGCGATGTCATTGTTGTGGGGGTCGGAATTGTCCGACTTGCCGGATTTTACGGATTTTTCACTCAGGGGGCTCTTCTCGGGCTCAAACCACTCCTCTTTCAGCCACTGGGGCACCTGAAAAAAAACATGAATAAATTTTCATTTCAATTTCACAAATTTGGTAGCGCTCTGTAGAAATTGTGCTTAGATTTACTTCCGTTTTTTCCGAAAAAAAAATTGGGTTGACTTTTTTTACTAATTTCATTTTCAGGATAAAAAAAAACAAAAACAAATTTAAACTAAAATCAATCATTAAATAAGTACTATTTCCCATTTTCCCTATATTTTTTCTCCACTTTGTTTTCCTCTGTTCCGTTGCATGATTTTCTTCGACTTATGTTTTTTAT